GCGCCCCGCACGCCAGCGCGCCCCCCTACCCCAGCGCGCCTCCAGCTGCCTCGCCGGCGGGCTCCAGACCACCAGCCTGCACGCCCCCAAACCTGCCCGCCCGGTCCCTCCCCTGCCTCCCGTCCCGACAGTGAGGCTCCGCCCCGAGCCTGCGACTCGGCGCCGACCGACCCCGAAGCCGAGACCCTATTGCGTCCCCCTCCCCAACGACAACTCTGCGCCACTTTGCAGGGGCTAGCTTCGGTGTCTGCGGTTTTCTTTGTCCATATATATATGTATAGGGGTAAGTGCACTTAGCCCTACACATGTATATTATGGGAAAAGGAAGGCTGTATAGGTGGAAGTACCCCCGCAAGGAGCCCTGGCGGCTAAATCGAAAGATTGGCGCTTCGAACCCATCCAGCGGCTCCTCAGGAGAAAGACCTGGCAACCTGCTCTCCAAAGATTACAGCCTAGGAAACCCTATGGGGCAGTTCTACTCTGTCCTACAGGGTCGCTATGAATCCGAATGGACAGGAGGGCTAAGGGTTTTGGGTTTTTGGTTACCCTTGGGAGAAGGATGGTGAGGGAAAGAATGAGGCTGGGAATTCCATGAGGGGGTCCCATGTCCAGCTCGGATTCTTCAACTGGAGACTTTGGGCAACTGGAGACTTTGGGCAAATTGCTTCACCTCTGAGCTTGTCTTAGTTTTCAGGCTGTGGAATGCAGGGGTTGGACTGGAGAGAGCGGTCTTCCCCACACTGGCACAACCAGGGCTTCCGCAGGCCAATATTGCACCTGTGTTTACACCGTTTCCAGTTAGTGACTCATTCACCGGGATAGAATGAGTTCGAGATAGTCCTCAGGCTAAAAACCCTTTAAGTCAGAGTGAGGAGCCTATGGCCCACTACCCTCCCTTCCTCCTGCTGCCTAAGATGGGTGCACCTTGACCTGGGTGTTTCTGCAGGGAGCTGGCGCCAAGGTCTGCCTGGTCTGGAGAATGGAAGAGAAAGAAGGCTCCGGAAACACACACCTATAGCTGTTCTCTGCCCCCAACAGGATGCCCCTTCCCAGCTCTCCCCAAAAGAGGCAGCTTATGGAAACCCTGGTGATGAGCCCTGGCAGCCTCCGCCTCGCAGTGGGGAGGAACCCTGGTCGCACCTCTGATTCGGGCACTGTCTTCCTTTTAGGTGAAGATGACGTCATAGCAAGACTGAGAGGGTGAGGAGGTGGGAGGTGGGGAGAGTGGGAGGCAGGGATAGGGAAGACTTCATTTTTTAAAAAATTGTGCTTTAGATAAAGGTTTACAGAGCAAATCAGTTTCTCATAAAACAATACACGTATTGTTTTTTGACATTAATTGCCAACCCCACCACGTGTCAACACTCTCCCCTTCTGCCTTGGGTTCCCTATTACCGGCTTTCCTCTCCCCTCCTGCCTTCTCGTCCTTGCCCCTGGGCTGGTGTGCCCATTTAGTCTCATTTTGTTTTATGGGCCTGCCTAATCTTTGGCTGAAGGGTGAACCTCAGGAGTGACTTCAGTACTCAGATAGAAGGGTGTTGGGGGGCCATACTCTCAGGGTTTCTCCAGTCTCTGTCAGACCAGTAAGTCTAGTCTGTTTTCGTGAGTTGGAATTTTGTTCTACATTTTCCTCTAGCTCTGTGAGGGACACTCTGTTGTGATCCCTGTCAGAGCAGTCAGTGGTGGGAGCCAGGCACCATCTGATTGTGCTGGACTCAGTCTGGTGCAGGCCGTGGTAGTTGTGGTCTGTTAGTCCTCTGGACTAATCTTTCCCTTGTGTCTTTGGTTTTCTTCAAAACCTCATGTTTTTGAGGTTTGGCTTCTGTGTCAGAAAAGGACAAAGGTAGAAGCGGTGTTGGATAATACTCTGTCATGCTCAAATGTCACCGATTACTCCTAAGAGTGTGGGTAGAATGGGGGGAGGTGTACAGGATGGCAGCGGAACTAACATTAGTTAAGTATCTGCCCTGTGCTAAGTAACCCCAGGAAGGATGCATCATTGTCTGCATTTTACACACAACACCGAGGCTCAGAGGGAAAGACAACTTGCCAAGTTCCCTTAGCTGAAAAGTAGTAGGGCTGAGATTGGAAGCGAGAGCTGTTTGACTCTGCGGATGAGCAAGTCCATTTGACTACACTGCCCTCTCAGAGTAATTGCAGCCCACTAGATGCGTATACTGGTAATCTGGACGTGTTGTTTCTTTCTTCCCAAAGTGGGAGGAAGAGACCGTTTGGGCAGACATGGAAGGAAGACTGGGTTGGCTTCATCAGTGTTCACCAGAGCTGGAGGGCCCACCCACCCAATTACCAAGACCCAAGAGGGGACGGTGTTGGTAAGCAGGTGGGAGCAAAGGGGTCTTCACTGGAGAATAGAAAAGTGGCGTCAGAGGTGCGAGCAATTTGCTTACCCTGGGAGAGGGCAAACCAGGGCGTTCGGGAACTTCCTGGTTCCCCAGGATTCCGGCTAAATATTTCAGTTCTTCCTCTGTAACGCTGGGAAGGCAGCCACCTCACAGGATTAAATAAAGGCCATGCCAGGCACAAAACCAAAAAAATCAAACCCGTTGCCATCGAGTCAATTCCGACTCATAGCAACTTTATAGGACAGAGTAGAACTGCCCCATAGGGTTTCCAAGGAGGAGCTGGTGGATTCAAAGTGCTGACCTTTTGGTTAGCAGCCAAGCTCTTAACCACTGCGCCGTCGGGGCCCCGCCAGGCGCATAGGAGGAACTCAATTTCCCACTTTTCTTTCTTCTCTTTACTTTTATTCTTTGTGCATGAACACACTAAAGAATGTGAAGTGTAAGAAGCAAAGGCCATAGTGTGATAAAGACTGACAGTTCTGTGGCACGGGACAGCAACTGAAGGGTTAATTCAGTGTTTCTGTGAAATAAACTATGTTCTCAAGTGTATCGCGGTGGTCACACAAAATAAATGCATTATCCGTAGTTGCTGACATAATGTGCATCTTTTTCGGCCAACAACAGAGGCATAAAGATGGCTTCATCTTGCCTAATGAAAAGCATCAAAAAATACTTCAAAAGAGTCGCTTAAATGCACATAAAATACCCATACTCTTATGCAGAGCTCCCACCAGTGACTAGTAAGTGTGTTATGTCCTCAGTAAAGCTACAGTAGGCTCATGCATTTTAATAAACAATTCTTGCTTGAACTTCCAAAGTGCTCCCTGCAATGCGGAGCAATTGGTGTACACACAGCATTCTGCTTCTAGCTACTTATCAGTCCATTTTCATGACACTTTTAACTGCAGGGCTTGGCCTCCCTGATGCAGGCCCGACCTTGAGGGACAGCGACTCCTTTCAGCCTTTTAATCCACGGGCACCATTCTGTACAAGACAGTAGTTAAATTATAGGAAATTGGGACACAAGGCTGAGCTAGGTAGTGCTCTGAGTGGATTAGGTAAGGAGTTTGAGACAAGAAAGGCAAAAATGAAGAATTAGGAGGTACATGCCTTCAGATGATACTGAGAAAATGTGAGTCGCGGTATTTGAGAGGAGTCAGATCAGATGGCATGAAGATGGGGTCACAGAAATCCCATGCATGATATTTCCCCAGCTGGGAAACAGACCTCAAACAATAGAGAGGAGTCTCGCCTTAAACTGAGAAAGGCATTCGATTTTTGTCGCCAAATATTTATTAAGGGACCTCTCCATGTGAAGCACTGGATGAGGTATTATAAACCCAAAACCAAACCCAATGCTGCCAAGTCAATTCCAACTTATGGTAACCCTATGTGTTACAGTGTAGAACTGCTCCATAGGGGTTTTCTTGGCTATAATCTTTATGGAAGCAGATAGCCAGGCCTTTCTTCCGTGGAGCTGTTGAGTGGGTTCCAACTGCCAACTTTTAAGTTAGTAGTTGAGTGCAAACTGTGCCACCCACAGGCCTTGGATGAGGTTATTAAAGGCAGGGCAAAAAATAATAATAATAATAAGATGAGTAAGACCAGGAGAGGGCTAGAGCCTGAGGCAGTGGGGGTTCAAAGAAGGAAAGAATGGAAGCAAGAAAAGTGGCTTTAGGGAGGAAGGGAGCTTTGAAGGCTGGGTAGGGTCTCAGTCTGTGTGCTTTCCAGGCTGAGAGAATGGTATCCACAAAAGAATGGATGTGAGAGAAGCAGAAGACCTTTTCAGGGAATTCCTAGTCCAGTCTGGCTGGAAATGGCTACTGGCGACAAGTCGAGAAATACCGAGGAGCACTGGAGAGAAAAGGCATGATTTCCAGGTAAGCCAGCAGGAAAGCTGTTGACGTTTCTGAGCAGCTGAATGACATAATCCAAGCTGTTCTTTCATTATCTCCATCTGGACCTTGTATCCCAGATGGTTTAGGAAAGGGGGAATAGGTTGGAGACAAGGAGACTAGCTTAGAGTTTCTATCCCTGGCCAGATGGGACGTAATGAGGGCTTGACAAGGGAGACGGCAGGGAGGATGGGAAGGATGGGTGCTGCGTGGATGGTTTTGAGAGACACAAAGGGGAAGAGATGGGGACTGGCTACGTGCCTCAGAAGAAAGTCCTGGTGGTCTACTTCTGAAAAATCAGCCCTTGAAAACCCTATGGAGCAAAGTTTTACCCTGCCACACATGGGGTCACCATGAATCGTAATTGACTGAACAGCAAGTGGTAAAAATGAGTAATGACATCCGAACCAATAACAGCTTCTGTTGTAAAGCACTTAGTCTGTGTCAGGCCCGGTGTGCTGAATGCCTTACACGGCTTCTCACACTCAAACCTCACAGAAATACTGAGGTGCGCCCTATTACTGAGGGAGAGAAAGAAATAAAAAA